GGGGCGGGGCCGCGTGACGCTGCCGTCTGGGCTGGCACGTGACTGAGAAGTGGTGCTTCTCAGGGCCACCCTGGCAGGCCTGGCAGGGTCAGGGAAGGGGACTGCGACTCGAAGGGGTCAGTGACGTGCTCAGCCTGCGGGTCCTCGGTGGCCAGGCCCGAGGCCTGCTGGCCTCTCAGGCCCCGGAGTCTAGGCACTTCCGAGGGAACGGATTTTAGGGGCTCTGTTAGGTGGGCCCCGGGGAGCTGGCCCGGCAGCCCCGTTCTCACAAGCCCCCTTGTGAGGTGTGGCTGGGAGGGAGGACAGCACACACCTTCGCCGCGGTGTCCCCTCTCTGGAGCGGACATCTGGGGGGGGCTTGTCTCCAGGGGGCTCTGAACGCACAGTGCTCTGGCATGGGTGACGAGGCGCACAGGTGTGCTGTCACAGCCACGGGCTGTTAGCGGTGGCCCAGGGCCAGCAGAGCCCCGGAGAGCGGAGCCCCGGATGGGCCTTCTGTCCGCCTGGCGGCCCACGTGTGTCCCCAGGCCCGGGAGCCACAGGGGCGGTGCTGAGGGCAGCTGGCAGCTCGTCGGGAGATAGAGTCAGGGACAAACCGTTCTAAGAGTAGGGGTGTGGGGAGGGGGCGTTCGGCACTGCTGGGGGGTGGGTGAGGAAGCCGGAAGTAGGGACTCGGGGGGCAGAGGTCTCCTCGGTCGCAGCCCTGCCAGCCAGCAGACTGGAGACCAAGGCCAGGCACGCGGGGTGAACGGGGCTCCTGGGCGTCACTTGGGGGTGGGGGGGCTACTGAGCTGATGCTAAGTGAGCCCCTGCTGAGCCCGCAGCACCAGGCAGAAGGGACAAGGGACGCAGACCGCCCATATCCGGTCAAGGCCCAAGCAGGACAGGAACCCACCCCTGGATTCCAGCACAGCCGACAGGGGCGCTGCCACCCGGGAGTGCGAGGTGGCCCGGGGCGGCCCTGAGGCACGCAGAGCCGGACACGTGGGCTGGCAGCTCCCACCCTTAGGGCTGGCAGAACTGGCGGGTGGGCGCGGGCGTGGGACGAAGGAGCAGGTAAAGGCCTCTCCCTTGCCCCCGCCACCTGCCTTCTGTCCCTCTAGTGTCCCCTGCTGGCAGGCCCTGACGAGAAGGCAGCTGCAAGGGCCTCTGGGAAACGTGGTTTGCCGGCTTCCAGCCCCGGCCTCGCCGCACGGTGCAGAGCTGGCGGCCTCGGGCTTCCGTGGGGCCAGGCGGCAGCTATGAGGCGCGCGGCGCACGCTTCGCTCTGCTCTGCGG